ATACAGGGGTTTGATTCCAAAGATGTTGGCAGGGTTAAGAAGCACCAAAGGCAGAAGAGAGATTCTGAAGAAGGAAAAATGAAAGAAGCGATGCCCAGAGATCAGAAGCTGTCAGCTCCAGATCAGCTGAGAAGAGGGGGCTTGATGACAGGGGTCAACTTCTGAAAAGATGTAGCCTCCCTGGGGCTGCTGAGTCCAGAATCACCCCGCCCTCACTGCAGCAAGTGCCAGCAGCCACTAGCCATGGCCATGCTAGAAGAGCTGACACAGAAACATCTCTCCTCTGCCCATTCATCTTCCTCCAGGGCCCTCTCTTGGCAGGGCATAATGGGAAGCCTGGAAGATGCAGTGAGCACACACTAGGCCCAGCAGTGTTCAGAGCAGAGTGCAAAGATGAAGATGGAGGCTGACACTGCTACTGAGTAGCCAGGAAAGAAAGTAACCCTTGATGAGGGTGTGATTGATGCCTTGTTTCTACTAATCCTCATGGCCTTTCTTTCGAACATTACTTATACCTTCACTTCCTCTTCTTTTTTTTTTTTTCTTCTTTTCACGATGGAGTCTCACTCTATCAACGACACTGGAGTGCAGTGGTGCGATCTCAGCTCACTGCCACCTCTGCCTCCTGGATTCAAGAGATTCTCCTACCTCAGTCTCCTGAGTAGCTGGGATTACAGGTGCCCTCCACCATGCCCAGCTAATTTTTGAATTTTCAGTAGAGATGGGGTTTCACCATGTTGGTCAGGCTGGTCTCAAACTCCTGACCTCAGATGATCCACCTGCCTCAGCCTCCCAAAGTGCTGCGATTACTGCACCTGGCCAATATACCATCGCTTCCTGTTCTCTGCTCCTCCCACCAGAGATCCCCACTATTTCCTATGGAAACCTTTCCCTCCTCAGCATCTTTGCCTTTGCTATTTCCTGAGGGATGCCCCTGCCCAAGATGTATGAGTCCAAATCCTATATTACATCTTTTCAAATTCAGCCCACGTAGGTCCTGCTCTGCAAAGCTTTCTCTCTCTCACTGTTCTCATCTGCAAGCAGAAGTATGCTAGTTAAAAGAAAAAAAAAAAAAAAAAAGAATCCTTGGTATGTAGCAACTGCATATTTCCAGGGTGCAAATAATCCCAGAGGAACAGTTGCTAACTGTCAGCTCTTGTGAGCCCGTCAGCTGGTCCTGGCATGGCAAACCACAGTCCATGACCTGGAAGCATACCTCCCTGTTGTGAAATTCCTTAGCCATTCATGCGACCCCGCGACCCAGTGAGCTCTCACCACATTTTGCCATGCGTGATAGTCATTTCTTTGCAAGTCTGCACTCAACTTCAGAAAAGCATCCTCACATAGGGAAATTCATGGCTTAAAATTCCAGCCCTATACTCCCAGCTCTGTGACTGGTAACCCTGTTGCTTGCCAAGCCAAGTAGCTGGTAACCCTGCCACTTACCAAGTGTTGGGACACTCATCAAATGTTCAGAGCCTCAGTTGCCTCATCTATTAATGACAGCAGCAATGTAAATCAGTAGAGCCATTAAGGAAGACAGTATAGAGGTTCCTGAAAAAATTAAACATGCAACTACCTTATACTCCAGCAATGCCACTTCTGGGTATGTACCCAAAAGAATCTATGGTGGGGTCTTAAAGAGATATTTGTACACCTGTGTTCACAGCAGCATTATTCACAATACCGAAAAGGTGGAAGCAAATTAGTTTTAGCTCTTCCACCATCTATACATTTATTAAAAACATCATACCACACATCATAAATCTATACAATTTTTGTTGATTTAAAAATTAATTTTAAAAAGTTGTTTTTTCAAAGAGCAGCAACAATGGCAACCCTGCCCCACAGGGGTGTTACAAGAATTAAACGAGTGTATTAGTAGTTTTCACACTGCTATAAAGCACTGATGGAGCCTAGCTAACTAATAAACGAAAGAGGTTTAATGAACTCACAGTTCCGCATGGCTGCGGAGGCCTTAGGAAACTTACAATCATGGCAGAAGGTGAAGAGGAAACAAGGACCTTCTTCACTTGGCGGAGGGGAGAGGAGAGAAATGCCGTGAAGGGGAAACTTCCAAATACTTTTAAAACCGGCAGGGTGTGGTGGCTCACGCCTGTAATCCCAGCACTTTGGGAGGCCGAGGTGGGTGGATCACCTGAGGTCAGGAGTTCAAGACCAGCCTGACCAACATGGTGAAACTCCATCTCTACTAAAAATACAAAAATTAGCTGGGCATGGTGGCGGGTGCCTGTAATCCCAGTTACTCGGGAGACTGAGGCAGGAGAATCACTTGAACCCAGGAGGCGGAGGTTGCAGTGAGCTGAGACTGTGATATTGCCCTCCAGCCTGGGCAACAGAGTGAGATTCCGTCTCAAAAAAAAAAAAAAAAAAAGCCATCAGCTCTCATGAGAACTCCCTATCACAAGAACAGCATAGGGAAAATCACCTCCATGATCCAATCACCTCTCACTAGGTCCTTCCCTTGACATGTGGGGATTACAATTTGAGATGAGATTTGGGTGGGGACATAGAGCCAAACCATATCAATGAGATAACAATGCAAGTGCATTGCATAATAGTCCCTGGCACATTGCAGAGGTTTAATAAATGTTAATTTTCTCCACTCCTCAGGCTTTGTACACTCTAGAAGCCATAGTACAATTCATTTTTTAATTACCCTAAGTATCAAAAACACTACCTTGTAACTTGTAATTGTTCAAAACTATGCAATCGCTCAGAAATATTGTTGTTAATCTATCCACTGGAAATATGAGAGGGTTGACAGCGAGGGGAGGGGGCAGGGAGGGATGAGCCCAGAACCCACTGGGGAAGTGGGGATGGGTTGGGAAGAGACAAAGGAGGCAAGCAGCACAGGGAAATGGTGCTACTTACGCCCAAGATCCCCAGAGCTTACGGGGCCTCTCCAGCATCCCCCTCCCTCAGGCCTTCTTACCTCCACTGGGTGCACACTTACTATTGCTTACTCTTTAATTCTGGCTGCGGCTGAGCTGGACACCAGCGTCCTGGAACACCAACCGCCTTCTGGGTGGCAATAATGACAGCAGCAGCTATTTCAACTGCAGCTGCTAATGGTATTTCAATATACTTAATCCCACGGGGCAGAAGTTGGCACTAGCGTCCAGCAGCAGAAAAAAATGCTAACAGGGAATGCTGGGCTTAAGGAGTTTAGTACAGAAATGGCAAATACCCCATAATTTCTTACCTTTTTCATCTAATAGGATACCTATCAACTAAACCTTACCTAAAACCTAAAATGCTTGAAATATGCCTAGAAGCTTCAGTCTGATTTTGCCCATAGGTCAAGTGCTAATGAACTGTTCTTTTCTTCCATTTCTGCTCCTCATCTTTAATCTAAAAACCACGGAGTCATGGAATGGGAAAGGCCTAGAGCTCCACTTGCTCTAATTACTTCTCTTTTCAAAAACCATAGATCTAAGGCAAACCCAAAAAGTCAGCCACGAGGAAATGCAGACTTACAGACAAAATCGATTTGTTCCAAACCGGTGTGCTCTGGGGGCCTGGCCCCTCTGGAAACCCAGGGCTCAGTCTCCCATGCCAGGTGTTTTGTCACTTGGCAGCCTCCTCGGACAGTCCGAGTCAGGGAGCTGGGCTTCTCGAAAGAAGTCCATTCCATCTATGGACAGCATGCACAGCAGGGGCGATCAGCCTCAGCAAACCGCTCAGCCTGTTTCCTCCTAGTCAGGGATTCTCAATACGTTTAGGGGCACGGTAGGATGGAGATTTTATCAGAATCATGGCATTTGCACTACATAGTTTGAAAGATGTAACATAAAGCTGCTGCTTTAGTACCAGCTGCCATATTTCTTTTTCTTGGAGGTTTCTAATAAATCTAAAGGAGGGTGTTCTATTGAGTTGAGCAAAATGGCCTGAGGTTCCAAGAACTAGAGCTGCTGCTGACTCCAGTTGCTCCGTATAGCTGAAGATGAGCTCTTGAAGCCTGCAGATCCCAAATCTGGGATATCTCTTGATGTAGCATCACACACATCTGTGTGTACTTGTCTTTTTTTCCTCCATGGGACCAGCTCTCAGCAGATCCAAAGACAAGATTCTGATTGTGGATCTTCTGATACATCTCCTTGCTTGTAATCATTCAATAAATGCTTTCTAAACACAGGTACCTCCTATGCAATCAGTACAGCACTTATAAAACAGATCAACAAAAAGACTGAATGAAACACATATGACAACGTGTTCATGGTTTTTCTCTAGGCAGAGACAGTGCAATTTCATCTTTTCCTCGTCTATCCTAAATTAATATACTTAGCACTGCCTTTAAAAATAATAATAAAAAAAACTCTTTATTTTTAAAAGAAAAGCACCCCAGTTGATCATAGCCAAGGAAAAAAAAGACGCAGCCAGTTTTTACTTCGGCAAGGTTTGGGGGATTTATCATTTTCGCTGCCGATATTCTAACTAAAAAAAACCCAACTAAACAGCCCAGAGAACGAGGCAACTTTCTGAGGCAGGCATTCAACAACTTCAAAAGCTCGGCCAAGTTTAGCAAATAAGTTTCGTTTCACCGCAACACCGGGACGCCCACCGCGTGCCCCCAGCCGGGCGGGGCTCGGAAACTGGCCACCGCGGTCGTGCCCTTGGGTTGGGGACGCACCTCTGCGAAACAAACGTAGCAGCACTTCCCGGCTGGCGCCCGCGCGCTACAGCTCGGAGAAAACAGACCGGAACGCGCATGCGCCGCGCTGCGCCGCGCCGCGCCGCACCGCCCACCAGCCCTCCAGGCCACATTCTTCGAAAACCAGGACAAGAAAGGCGGCAACTGCGCCTGCGGGGAGAGAAGCCGGAGGGGCGGGGGCGGAGCCGGAGGAAGGGGGTGGAGGCGCGCGTGCGCGCTGATCCCGCCGGCAGGAAGCCCGGCGCGCGGGGGCGGGGTCTCTCGGCGGCAGGGGGCGGGGCTCTCGGGGCCGCTGCCGCCGCCGCCGCCGCCGCCGCGCATTGTGCAGCAGGCGGGCCCCCGCGCGGCAGGGCCCTGGACCCGCGCGGCTCCCGGGGATGGTGAGCAAGGCGCTGCTGCGCCTCGTGTCTGCCGTCAACCGCAGGAGGATGAAGCTGCTGCTGGGCATCGCCTTGCTGGCCTACGTCGCCTGTGAGTGCGGGCCCGCGGCTAGGTGGGGAGCCCCATTCATTCCCCGGCTCCGCGGTGGGCCGGGCGGCGGTGGTGCGGAGCCCCGAGGCGGCCCTGCAGCCCCGCGTTGCTCCCCGCCCCGGGCGGGACCGGCGCTTTCTGCTCCCACCCCTTTCCACTCTTGCAGCAAAGCGGGCCAACTTGGGCGCACACCCCCGACAGCTTAGGCCCGGGCGCGGACCCCGGACGGAGGGGCCCTCAGCCGTCCTCGGGCGGCCCCCGGTCCCTGCCTCCTGTCCGGGGAACTCGGCGGCGGCGCTGTCGTCCACGTCGCGCTGGGAGCCGGCGAGAATCCCGGCCGGCGACTCCGGAGCGTGCCGCGTGGGGATACCCTTGGGGACACCCGCGGTCGCGCCGCGGTGTTGGTTAAGTCGGATAAAAATACTGTGGCCGTTGGCAGAGCCCCCGCTCCGACTGTTTGCTCCTCAGGAAAATTACTCAGCGTTTAACTCTTGGGGAGCCAAGTGTGGGCGGCCCCCTGAGCCGCTGCCGTGGCCAGGTGTCGGGGCGCACGGGCACCCCCATTCTAGGTTTTCCCCCGGGGCTGGGCGGCCGGGCCCAGCGGGCAGGCAGTTCGGTGGCCGGGCGGGGCGTGCCTGCAGCTTCGCCGTGCGCGGGTCTAGTTTCTGTCATCACTCACAGCGTGCTGCCTGGAGACGGGGCAGGAGGGGCACTTCGCAGGCAGGTGGTGGGCCCCCTGCTTATTAGGGAAGTCAGAAACCGTCCTTTTTAAGATCTATTCGTTGGGCATATGTTTTAATTGCTGTTGTTAATACGTCACCAAGTACTGAAATTGGACTGGAAATAGCTCCCAGTGTGAGCTGCGTTTGAATGCTAGCCACCGAGGCACACTGAAATGAAATCACCTGCTAACCTGTTGAGTTATCAAGATCTAATTCCCGAGGTTAGTGGGGAATCACTTGTCTGAAGTGACTTCAGTTGGCTCTAAGAAGGCAAGTATGAGTAGATACAGCCTGTCTGCTAGAGCCCAGCTGTTCAGGAGGTGGAGCTGGAAAACCCCAGCAGGACTCCGGGTTGCTAGGGCAGGTTTCAGGCCTCGGATGGGTGTTAGATGTGAATAGTTTTGCAAGGGAGGAAGAACTAGTCTGAAGTGTGTGTGGTCAATCTTGAGTAAGAAAGCTGAGACCCAAGAGGAAAGACCATTTAAAGTTGAATAACTATTTATTATGGCAATAATACTACCTTCATTTGTTGAGTGCTTAACTGTGTATGTGAGTCTTGATTCTTAGTGCCATTGTCTGAATCATTCAGCAACCCTGGGAAATCGGTGCTATAATGATTCCTATTTTAGAGGTGAGGAAGTTAAGGCCAAGAGAGATTAGGAAATTTACGGATGATCACACAGATAGCAAGAGAAGGAAGGCCAACATTTGAACCCAGAAAGGTCTAGGAGCAGGAGCTAGAACCCAGGTCTTCCGACAGCAGTTTCCATTTTATTTTGGGGGTATTCTAAAGTTGCCGCAAGGGTTTAGAATTAATAAACTAGGGGAGTTATGGAGTCATGGATTTTTTTTTTTTTTTTGAGACGGAGTCTCGCTCTGTTGCCCAGGCTGGAGTGCAGTAGGGTGATCGTGGCTCACTGCAAGCTCCACCTCCCGGGTTCACACAGTTCTCCTGCCTCAGCCTCCCGAGTAGCTGGGACTACAGGCGCCTGCCACCACACTCGGCTAATGTTTTGTATTTTTAGTAGAGACGGGATTTCACCATGTTAGCCAGGATGGTCTCGATCTCCTGACCTCGTGATCTGCCCGCCTCGGCCTCCCAAAGTGCTGGGATTACAGGCGTGAGCCGCCGTGCCTGGCCGGAAAGTTTTTTTTAACCTGTTGTTCATCTAACCAGGAAATCTTACCAAGTCCTTACTGTTGTTGCTGAACTTGGCACCAGGAGACACCATGGGGTGCTGAAGCACCTGGTCTGTGCTGTGACGGTACAGACCGTATACCACAGTCAGGCACATTGGTTCTCAGACTTAAGCATGCATCAGAATCACTAGGGGGTTTTTTAAAAACACAGACTGCTTGTCTCCCTCCTCAAGATTCTGCTTCAGTTGGTCTGGGATGTGGCCTGAGAATCTGCATCACTAATAGGTTGTTCTGTATGCTGTTGCTGCGGCCTGACCCCACTTTGAGACCCACTGGCCGAGATGGTGAGGTGGGCATGAATTGGAAATGAAGGTTAAATTACAAACTGGTGTGAGGGAAAGGAATGAATGAGAACTGTGGCAGGAACTCCTGAGTGAAAGCAATCAGGTATGTTTGTTTTCTTGAGGAATCAAAAAGTGAGCTGAGAATGGAAGGCTTATGTAGGAGTTAACAGGGAGGTCACAGGAGAGAGCGAGTTCTAGGAGGAGCAGTGTGTGCAGAGGTCCTGCGGCAGCCAAGAGCAGGCAGTATTCTAGGAATGCAAAGAAGGATGGTATTGTTGGAGTGTGAAAACAAAATTACAGCCATGAGGCTGCCCAGGCAGACAGAGGCCAGAGCAGGCAGGCAGGCCTGGGGTGCAGCCCACGACATGGGTGATTTTAGCTATGAGGGGTTTAAAACAGGGTGGAGGCAGTGTTAATAAGGAGCAGGTATGCTAAGTCTGAGCCACTCTGCAGGGAAATATGTTACAGGGCTTGTGATTGATAACACCCAAGGACGCTGAAAATGTAGTCCCTCAACTGTAATGTCTGTGTTTTCTAATCTCTGCTTTACCTAATTAATAATCTTGTCCTCCCTGTTACAAGTAAACTCTCACCACTGTTTGAAAAAACTGTCCATACTTCTCAATTATATACACCCTCACTGTTAGCCAGTCTCCGTTGCAGAAATGCCCTCCCGGTTTCGGGAACAGAGCTCAAGTTCTGTTAGCCTTTCTCCTTCTGCTCCTTACATCTTTCCCAAAGCCTTTGCTACTTACTCTGGCCCTAAGTCTCCTCCTTGATACCACATAACTCTTCTTCATGTCTTGGGGTTGACCACCTGCCAACTTGCGTTGTACTTGAGTTCTTTCCCGTTCATATTTTGGCTTCTTCCTCAATGAAATCCCGATTCTGAGGACAGGGGTTGTGTCTTATGTGTTTCAGCCCTTGTAGCATTTATAGCAGTGCTCATGGCTCATTGAAAGAACTCAGTTTCTACCCTTTGTACTGAATCAAAAATCAGGCCAACCTACTAGGTATCTCCTGGGCAGACTCAGCTTGAATAACCTTTAATGTATTATTTTTTTGACATGCATATAGTATAAAAAGTTAAGTAGCCTCTGCGGGGCCAAACAGTATCCCCTGCCACCATTTCCCTCTCCCCAGAAATAGGCACTTTACTCCTTTTTTTTTTTTTTGATACAGAGTTTTGCTTTTGCTGCCCAGGCTGGGTTGCAATGGTGTGATTTCGGCTCACTGCAACCTTGGCCTCCTGGGTTCAAGTGATTCTCCGGCCTCAGCCTCCTGAGTATCTGGAATTACAGGCATGCGCCACCATGCCTGGTTAATTTTGTATTTTTAGTAGAGACGGTTTCTCCATGTTGGTCAGGATGGTCTCAAACTCCTGACCTCAGGTGATCCGCTGGCCTTGGCCTCTCGCAGGCTTGAGCCACCGCACCCAGCCCCTAGGCACTTCATTTCTTTTAGCTGATTATTTTGGTATTTATCTTTGTGCCATTGAATCACCTGGCTTCCTGATTTTTCAGTTGTAGATATTACCTAGTGACTTTGTTCTTTGGGAGATGATTTTTTTCTTCTCTTTGCCCCCGTGCATGCTGTCTACCCTCCTGTATAGATGTGGTATAATCTCACGGAGATCAACATGCAGTGTTTACAAGCGTGACTATGTAAATGCTGTTCTAGTGAGTCATGTTGTACCTTACTTTTTGTTTTCTCCAGCGAATAGTTGGCCGGTGTTCTAATTTGCTTGCTTTCTATGTAGTATGACAGATCCCACTGCAAACTCTTTGCCAGTTGTCACGTCTTCCCCCACGATGTTCACGGGCATCAGGATGCCCCTCTGTCAGCACCCCTACCTGAAGAAGGGCCCCGGAGCCTTCTACTGAAACTTGTGTATGCATCTGGGGATCAGCTGCCAGCCTCACCACCTGCACCCACATCAGCCTGGACCTGCCCGCCGCAGGGCTTATGTCTCCTGACTTCCTCTTCCTGACTCCCCCTTGTTTCACTCCCTGATTTGGATGTGATGGGAGGTGAATTTTGAGACTTTACCCATTAGTATGTTTTCTGCCTTCATGTCTGATAGATTGATAATATAGAATTATACAAAAAAAAGTCTTTTCGAATTTTTGAAGCATCGATCCAATCCTTTTTGGCCTCCAGTATTGTTGAAGAGTTTCAAGCCAGTCCTTCTCTTTCTGAAGATTGTAGCGTCTTCCTTTCATCCCTGGTCATCAGTGTTCACCACACATGTCCAGCCCCCTGCCCCCCAGGCTCTTGGTAGGATTGCCCTCCCTTCCTCACTCCCTGAGCTTGATGGCCTCACATGGTTGCTGTGCCAGTGGCCTGGCCGGGAGCTGAGCGGAAGTGCTACTTCCACTTCTGGGCCTGCACTTAGCTGCGAGTGTAAGTTGCTGCCAGAGTTTTCCCTCCCTTTAGTTTGGTTCTGAACTCAGCTTGACAGTGATGATACTCAGCTTGCAGAACCCCCTCCTACCCATGCTGTGACCCTGTTCGATTGAAATAAACTTGAAGAATAAATCTTTGTTGTTTCAGGCCTTTGAGGGCTTTCGGGCTGCTCATTGCTGCAGCTTAACAATGCCTGCCCTGACTGATACATCCATGGTGTTCTGAGATACACAGTGCCTTGGTATATTTTATCCAGCATGTTGGGCATTTTTGTGCCCTGGCAATCCGGAAACACTTATTCTTTAGTTCTGGGAATTTTCTTGAATTATTCTGTGGTGATTTTCTCCCCTCCCATTTTCTGTTTTCTCTCTTTCTGGAACTACTACTA